CCTGTCTGTCTGTCTGTCTATCTATCTATCTCACTGTCTGTCTGTCTATCTGTCTGTCTGTCTATCTATCTCACTGTCTGTCTGTCTATCTATCTATCTGTCTATCTGTCTGTCTGTCTGTCTATCTATCTATCTCACTGTCTGTCTGTCTGTCTGTCTATCTATCTATCTCACTGTCTGTCTATCTATCTGTCTGTCTGTCTATCTCACTGTCTTTCCCTTCAGAAGTACTTTATTCAAATAAATGGTTTCTGAAGGAGTTCATGTGTGAAGTGTGAACTATTTGTTTAATATGAACAGATGGTTGTTTGATCACACGTCACCAGAGCTCACAGATGGATTTTCCATATTTCCACTATTGTTATTTAATAATAATAGCCTAATAACAGTTTTCGAAATGTTTGTAAGAGCGAGTCTGTTTGTAAAGTGCGATTCGCACGTGTGTGTGTTTAATTAGCGCGTGCGTGCACGCTTGGGCGAGCGATGCGCTGAACGCTCTCCAGCAGTCGCGTCTCCTCCGCTCGCGTGCAGGTGTCACATTCCTCGGATGCTCGCGATCATTTGAACCTGGAACCCTATCATCATGACGGACCCCTCCTCTGCTGCTGACCCCACTGCTGGTTCTGCAGACCCCGGTCCTGATCCCGTTCCTGCTTCTGCTCCGGATCCACCGGTGTTGGGTTCAGCATCGACTCCTGCGAACGGACACCATCCGAGCCAAGCAGACACTTTCAACATGGAGCAGCAGATGAAAATAGGAGAGCCGGACGACAACGGTACGAGTTTGGCTTTAAACACTTTTGACACAGACTTTAGGGGTTTATTTGCGTGGAAAAATACATATAAAGCGGAGCCCGGGGCAAGTTGTCACGTTTAGTCCAGTGAACATTTCTCAGGTTGGTTTTATTTCTGAAAGTCAGAGTTTCTGTAAAGACACAAAAAATAAAGTCTTGACTACAGAATATATAAGGAAAAAAATAAACAAACAAACAAATAAATAAATAAAAAAGACTATCAGAAGAATATAGAATTCAATAAAGCGGTAATTAATTAGTCTACAATGGGAATAACACTGTTTCGTTGACACTGATTTGAGATGAATACCTTTTTTAAAGATGAAATTACATCTAAATTATATATGAAAAAGTATGTTTCACAACATATGTATTTAAATGTATTATAGACTATTTAATGGCGAAATTGAATTGCAATAAATTAAAAATAGTTAAATAAAAAATATTTTATTACAGGAGAATTTAAATAGTTTTTATAAAAATAAATGTAAAAAATTCAAATTAATAAATGAAAATATATACAGTATACAGTTGTTTTGGCGAGCAGAAAGTGCAATTCATTTATAGTTTGAAGTTAAAACATATTAATTTGTATGTGACAACTTGCCCCGACCTTATGCTTAGAATGCAGATTCTAATTCATTATATAGTTGATTCTTTTCTGAATGAATTCTAGTGTGATTTTATTGAGCACAACAGCTACAACTGTAGTTTTGAGAACAAAATTCACAAAATTTATCCTGATTTAAGACAGTTTTGAACTATAGATGCTATAAATCAACATACAAAACAAGCATTTGTATTATTCGACTTTCTAATAAATACCTCATAGTTGCTGAGATATTGTGCTTGTGACAACTAGCCCCGGTGTGTCTCATACACTTTATGGACTTATTTGTGAATAAATCCCATTGAGTTCCTCTGAGATGTGAAGAGATAACCTGACGTAAGCTAACCGAGCGCTGTCCCTCAGCAGGACTCCTGGAGAGCAGTATGCGTCTGAAACCCCAGGAGGCCCAGAGTTACAGAAAAAAGGCATTATGGGTATCGTGGGTCTCCATTGTGGTGACGATGATCTTAGCCATCGCTGCGTTCAGTGAGTATCCGGACCCTCTTCTCTAGAGCATCACAGGCCCCTTAATGATACAGACCTGTATGATGTCATATCCTGTTCTGAAGTCGATGTAGCTTTAGTCTTTTGGGACTTTCTGATGCAGTTGTAAAGAACGAATTCACAATCGTTTCTGTAGCAGTTTGATTTTTACCTTACAGTCTAGAGTGGAATGTAGAATCATATATATGTATACACACACATATAATATATTAATACAAATATTTATATAAGACATATATATATATATATATTAATGGTGATATAGAATTATATAGAGATAATATAGAATTATATTAATATATGTAATATATATATATTATCTATAGAATTATATTCATATTAAATTCATATAATATAATTTGTAATTAATTGTATTATTATACAAATTACATATAATTCATTATATAATTAAATAATATAGAAAATATATTATAAATTATTAAATAACGACACATAAAATAAATATATAACTATTATTATATTTTATATATCATTAGATGGATAGATAGATAGATAGATAGATATATGTCATATTATTTTACACAATTTTTCTGGGTTAAGCAGAGCCAACAGCTGTGTGTAGTTTGGTTCAGTGCCATGAGCTTGATACACAAGATCAGGTTTGACTAGTTTCCTCATGGCTTTTCTGCAAGATTACTTTGATGATCTTTGCTGAAAGAAAGTGCAGAGGATAAACTCAGACACACGGGAACATCGTAAACCAAATACATTTAAAACACTTTATTCTCAGCTACAAACACAGAATATCCTTAAAGGTACAAAACTGGAAGGCTGTCAAAGAAAAGTGATCATATAATACAAAAAAGGAATTGTTCTTGCTCTTTTGAATATAAAATGTACTTAAAAAGAGTTTTACCCACTGTGGAGACCATTCTACGGTCTCAATAGTATACTTGTATACTATCCTTGCTATTTCTGCACTATATAGACTGTACTGTGAATTTTGCATGTAATATCTGGATCACAGTTGCTGTTTTTTGGAAAACTGTATCCCAAAATGCAGTGAACTCATCCTGACCTTCCATTTCCGAAAAGATCTGAGGGACATTTTAGGTTTTAAGCGGCATTATGCCTCAAATGCTTTTGATAGAGCTTAACTTGAACCCCGAATATTCCCTTAAATCTTTAAGCTGGGATGCACAAGTTGGCCTTACGCAGACTATTGTTGTTTTCTCAGCACAAAGTGCGCTTAATCATTTTGTAGACTAGTTCCAGGTCATGTGGTTTAATCTTGGAGCAGCTAACAGAAGCCCCGCACTGGATTTGATGTATGATTTAGAAGGAATGGCTTCTTGCTTGGCACTCCGTCCCTCGGGATGGAATGACTCACCTTACACTTCCAGAGTTAGACGGGGACTCTGGGACTCATGTTGCCAGGCTGTGAAGATTCAGTCACATAGCAACTCCAGAGCAACGACGCCTGAGAGATGCTGTCATTTAGTCGTCTCTCTCTATCAGTAAAGGCGACGTTTTGGTGTCGAAGGAAATGAAATGATTGCAGGCAGCTGGTAAGGGCAAATAACAGAGATAGAGCTAATTGTTTTTGTAAATTAACCTGTAAAAAACACGATAAAATCTTAGGATTTTGATTTGTTTTACATTCATTTGTGGTGCTGGCTAATGGCTTTTTGACTTGGGCAACCACAGGAATGAGATTTGTTCTAGTTTTTTTTGGTGCTTAGCATAGCAGCTAGCTATGGCATGAACAACCACCATTTTGTTGACAAAATGGTTTATTTTGTGATGTGTGTTTTTTTCTTTGATGATGAACCAGCCAGGCCGACGGCCATCGGGTGGACGGCCGTTCTGGACTTCTCCAGAATGTCCAGATGGCCAGTCCGCCCCTGCTTACTAGGGTGTTCTGGGTGGTAGTTCTGGTAAAGTTCATCCACTCTTTCGTAACCTTGGGATCAGAAGGAAGGCAATGCAAACACTGTTTTTCCACAACTTGGCACTGCACAGCGTTTTGTTGTCTTCAGAACATTGTTTGGTTTCTGCGTAGACCTGACCGTTCACTTCTACATGCGCGAATCGGTGGGCGGGGCTAAACAGGCAGCGATGTAGAAGCAAGCGTTGATCTTCTTCTGTGGAGGCGGTGCTTATCCAAACGATTACATCTAAGAGTCGTATATTCCACAAGCGGTCGTTTTGGCTGCCTTTTTAGACTAACGAGAAAGTTTTGAATTCTGAAATTTACAGGATGCTTTTATAGTACAATGAGTGTCAAA